TGTTTGATGTTTTTGTGCTTTGTATCAATCTGATGAGTTAAGTTTTTTTCAACTAATTTTTGTCAAGCCTGCTACTTCTGTCACCGAAAGCTCAACATAGGGAAAGTGATACAGCAGCGGCGTTAACTAACTACTTAAAAGCTTTATATTTCAGAAGGTGGAGACCTGGATGCTTCATACTTTGTATATAGATGCCTTATGTCATGAAGTTTTAGTCTGTCATATGTCCATTGTCCTTGACCTCGTTTTCATGGTTCAGTGACTACTTGAAAAAAGTTTTTTTTAATCTTAATTTCTCTCTTATTGTGAGTAATAGGATAACTAAATTTAGTATGTGCATACCTTGCAAGGTCCTCATGCCTTTCAGACAGTTTTCATCTGACCTCGACTTCATTTCATAGATCAGTGAACAAGGTTAAGTTTTCATGGTCAAGTCCATATCTCAGATACTAGTATAAGCAATAGGTCTACTATATTTGGTGTATGGAATGATTGTTAGGTGTACATGACCAATTGGCAGGTGTCATCTGACCTTGACCTCATTTTCATGGTTCAGTGGTTAAAGTATAGTTTTCATGTCTTGGTCTTTTTTATGCCCCCTGCGTAGCAGAGGGGGCATTAAGTTTTACCCTTGTCCGTATGTATGTACGTACGTCCGTACGTCCCAAAATTGATTTCCGTTCTCTAACTTGAGTTTGCCTCAACCAAATGTTATGAAACTTATACACAATGCTTATTACCACTAAATACAGATCAAGATTGAATTTTGGTGGCTTCACTTTAACCGTTCTAGAGTTATGCCCCTTTATAAATGGAAAAATTGCAAAATTTTTAGTTTCCGTTCTCTTACTGAAGTTTGCCTTAACCAAATGTAATGAAACTTATACACAATGCTTATTACCACTAAATACAGATCAATTTTGAATTTTGGTGGCGTCTCTCAAACCGTTCTAGAGTAATGCCCCTTTATAAATGGAAAAATTGCAAAATTTTTAGTTTCCGTTCTCTAACTTAAGTTTGCCTCAACCAAATGTTATGAAACTTATACACAATGCTTATTACCACAAAATACAGATCAAGTTTGAATTTTGGTGGCGTCACTTTAACCATTCTGGAGTTGTGCCCCTTTATAAATGGAAAAAAAAATGCAAAATTTTTAAATTCCGCTCTCTAACTTAAGTTGCCTCAACCACAAAACACTGATCAAGTTGAATTTTGGTGGTGTCACTTTAACCATCATCGAGTTATGCCCCTTTTTAAATAAAAAAATTGCAAATAATTTAGTTTCCGTTCTGCAACTTAAGTTTGCCCCAACCAAACATTATGAAACCTATACATAATACTTATTACCACAAAACTCAGATCAAGTACTAATTTTGGTAGTGTCACTTTTATCGTTCTTGAGTTATGTCCCTTTATAATGTTGTATGCAAGCGGGGGCATCATCTGTGTCCATGGGGACACATTCTCCATTTATTTCCTAATACTTTACGCAATAGGTCAACGATATTGGGTGTATGGAAATATTTTACGATGTACATGTCAGTCTGGCAGGTTTTATTTTACTGTAACCTCATTTTCACTGGTTAAGTTTGTTTCTTAGAAATTATAAGAATAGGTCAACTATATTTGGTGTATGGAATGATTGTAAGTTGTACATGTATTTCAGGTTTGGTTTATCTGACCTTGACCTCATTTTCTTGGATCATGTTAAGTTTATGTGATAGTTGTAGTAAAGCTTTATATTTAGGACTATCAACATAAAATCAATGGTCAGTAGAGCAGGCGAGACATTTTAGTGTGTGCACTCTTGTTATAGTTGTTCTTATGTTGTGCTGTTGCACAACTGTCTCAGGTTAGGGGATATTTTGTTTAATAAGACTGGTACATCATTATTGGGTCTATATATATATTGCTTCCAAAGTTATACGGTAGTCCTGAATGGTCAGATATCTAATATAATAAAATTACCAAACAAGTCTATAGTTTCCTCATGGAGATTAAATTCAAGAGCAAAAATAGCTACCCCTCTTCTTTTACTAGAACAAGAACTAAATTTCCCCATATATCCCCATTCATGAAGCCATTGTTTTTCTTTTCAGATGTGCTTTGAATGTCTACTAAATATAGTTATATCATATATAAGTCCTTATATTTTGTAAATATATCAATTCTTTTAACTGTTTCTGATAAACCCCTGCAGTTAACACTACCAATAGTTATAGTCAACATAATCAGGGGCAGATCCAGGATTTTGGAAAGGGGGGGCGTAGTATTAAAGATTGAAATTTTTTTTGACCTTTTTTGGGGTAAAAAACATAAAATAAGAGTAAAATGCATTTTATAGTTAAAGTGTAAGGGTTGGACATTTTTGGTGCCGTATTCTCTCCATTAATTGTCTATTATAAAATGATTGGATGGATCCAAAGCTATGTACTAATTAATATATTTGATGTGGGATTTGTCAGTAAAAAATGGACATGGAAAATTCTCATTGTTGTATGGTTAGTTAGCATAACCTCACAGATTTCTTGTTGTAAACAAGATATACGGCTATTCAATGAAATTTACAATACGACCGACACGAAGAAAGACAAACAAGCAATTTTTATCCAAATGTTTGGTTGAAATGTTTCAACCAACAAAGGAAGTGAGGGGTTCCAAATCAACCAAAGGCTACGAATGAGTCGGAAATGACAATGAAGTTGTGAATGACGGTCGACACATGGAGACATATAGGCCACACCCAGCAGGCAGGTTGCAGTCGGGCCTTGAAAAAAGTATTCAGTATATTAGTTCGGCGAAACAGACATTCCGGTCAGATATGGGATTCACATGCAACCCCCCAAAAAAAAAATTACGCCCGTTTTTTATTCATCATGTTCATTTAATGCTAAATACTTTTGTTGAAAATATTTTTTTCTAATAGCAAAAAAGATTATTGTTTTCAATCCAGATACGGCCAGTTTAAGACAAAAATCAGGGTCAGAATTTTTTCTCTAAAATATCTCAGACTGCCCCCTCAAATCAAATGGTCCGTACCTTAGACTTTAAATCTATATCTAGAGCTTACTGACTGGGGATCACTATTCAGCAATGTTATTAATGGGCTGGGGCGTGTGGGGTTAAACATGTTTTCGTAGGTAAATAATATTGCTGTGGAACTTTTTTTTTCATGAGAGTGTAATAGAGTATTACTTTCTGTTGGGTGGAATTGTGAAATAGAAGTCAATACGTTCTTGCTCAATACTTTGTCGCTTTGAAGGCGTCATGCTTGTCATCCTCAGCCTAAGCAATGTGTTACTGTAATTTGAATTTCAAAATGACTGAGTGACGTTTTTTTCGATGTACTGGTCAACTCCACCGTAGAGAATCACATGACTTTGGCATAATCAATAATATATTACAGTAAATACGAGCGAAAAATATCTTTATAAGTAAAGAATTGTCGCATAAAAATTAAATACACGAGAAATGGCAAAGTTCGCGAAGTCTAGTCTGATTAATCATTTTACAAAAAAAAAAAAGAAAAAAAGTGCAAGCAAAGGGGGGGCGTACGCCCTCTACGCCCCCCTCTGGATCCACCACTGATAATATAATAAAGTGGTTAAACAAGAGTAGCATAAACAATATAAATATCTAAAAGCACAATATATCAAAACAGCATTAACAAAACATACATAAAAGCTGTTTCACAATGTTTAAATTTTTTACTTAAAAATACCAGAATTACCCCCAAAAAACTTTTGTCGAGAGCTCAAAGAAATTTATCGATGAAATAAAACTCAGATATTCAATTAAGTTACAAATGATGAGAATGTGTAAACAAAATTACATACATTGTGCATGGTGTATGAATCAGTATCTATTTGTTCTAAAAATATCAATGATGTCGTTGTTAAAGTGATATTTAGAATAGGAGTTATCTTCCTTTGCAATAAATGTAGTTGAACCAAGTACAATTACTGACAAAAGAAGATATCTCCAATTCATAGCATGACCTTTCGTTGCTAAATATAATCAATGTTTAATTGTTAGTTCTCACGGCAAAATAAATGCAATCTTTACCCTTCAGTGCTCACATTAGTACTTAGATTTTTTACTACTGTTTAGATTAACAGCAGCAATTTTATTTTTGCATTTTTTGCGGTAGGATTTGAAACACAAAAATAAAACTATATCAAGAACCGATTTGAAGATGAAGACCATATATGAACATATAACGATAACGTTAGTATATGAAGAGGACCAATTTATAACAACGGTTTTACAGACGATATATAAACAACAAATTTTAAAACTCTATTTCAAAATTAAAGGCAATGTTTTAAAGGAAAACTTTAACTCATGACAGTCTAATTGAAATGAAGACATCTCAAACTAGCCTGTTATATAAATAACACTTGTGACAATTAGGTAAATGACACCTGTCAATTAATTTTAAAATGATCACCACATTGTATCTGCTACATATATCATTAAAATCAAAAGATTGATTAAATAGCACTAATCCTAGCTACTAATTTACACTTGATTATGTCTTTCTCTGTTATTGGGTAATGTGTTTTTACAAGCAACTATAGATATAGCAGCTAGATTACGCTAAATCTAAGTCAAATAACTTCAGATCTACATGTACATTATTGTATCTATGTATTAGGATAACTGTTCACTTTGTTCAGACAGTGGTGACTTTACTGTTAATGTGTCACTCCAACTATTGCAGTCTATTGAAAAATCCTACACACTTACCATTTCTTTTATCATAATCATGGTAATGACATGTATGAATTTATTTCTAATACCATTTGCAAATCATATTAAGGTAAAATAATTCGTCAGAATTGTTTAAAATTGAAATATATTTTGGTGGACAGTTAACATCTACTGGCATCAAACAGAGGTGCCTTACATGTGTTTATTTTTATGCAAGATAACAATGAATTGTAGACAAAGAAATAAGAATGTTTTGTCTGAATGGTAAGAAATTTTGTTTTCAGGTATTTGACAATGAAGAAGACACAGAAATACCAAAGATAAGGCTATGGATAAAGGAAATTGTAGAGCGAAAGAAACAGGCTGCTACTGAACACTTGATGCGTTACTTAACCTCTTTTTTAAATGATATAAAAAATTACCTGACAGAAAATGAACTTGAGGTAAAATGCTTTAGTGTTGATTAGACTTTAGATATGAAGAATAAAAATGACATTTCATTGCTAGAATAAGAAGTTATATTCCTGTGCAAAGCATTCACATTTGTTTCTGATTTCTATTTATATTTCGGCATTGCACCCATGCAACAAAACTATTTTCTGGTCAATATAGCTACAGGAAATCAGAAACTTACCTTAAGCATGTAAAACAACTGTGACCCACACACAAATCTAAACATCTTCCTGTTTAAACATGAATCACATGTGGTGTCGCTCCTTGAATAATTGTACATTTCAAAATGATTTGTTATTTACAAAAAGTAAAACATGCCCTTTGTCATATTGTTGAGTCATTAATATTTGTCAGGTACTATTTTTGTAGATTTCATGGGTATCAGATGAACCATAAAGGAGAAGGTCCGGTAAGGGCTAATTTTGGCCTAAAATTTGAAGTACATCTGATGAAAGATTTTTGACATTTTTCAAACACTAAAGTGTCTACTTCATTCGATTCAATTAGTTTATGTACAAGATTTGATCTGATTTGGTCATTAAAGACGTTCAAATTCAAGCTTCAATATGAAAAATCTATCAAGTATGCCATAAAAGGTTACTTTTCAGATGGTTTTTGTCTAAAATGTAAGTGGCCGCATTTGTGTTCAGTTTCAACCTTTATAAATGTTATGTATAATCATCAAATACAACATGTATTTAAATATTAAGACTAAACACAAGTTATGCCACTTCCATTTTAGACAAAAAACGTCTAAAAATTAGCACAAATGCTAAAATTGTGAAGATTTCAGTAATTTAACATGAGTTACTGATGCTAGTACTTGATGAATGTGCATTGTATTGTCAAAACAGCCCATATTTGTGAAACTAACGTATTCTACTTTCCAATAAATAGCTAAAAGTTTATATTTTAAACAAATTGTAAAAATGCTATATTTTGGGGCCAAAAAGGGGTCTTACCAGGGCTACTCCTTTTAGTGCTCAATGTAGTACAAATTTCCTATTGGCTGGTAGAATTAGTCAAAACAGAACTATGTTCTCTCCATCCACGAAAACTGGTAACTAATTGACTATGAATGTAAATGAATCAACAGTTACTACAGTATGGGATATGCATCTTTTATCTGCAATTTCTCATGTAAAACTCACTATACAATGTATTGACCCTTTTACAGAATATTCATCAATTAAAGCCATTGTGTACCTCTTATTTCAGTTTTTAAATTGAACTTTTATTGGGGCTTCCAAGTACTTTGGGATGTTTTGGTGAATGTAAAATTTTGAATTCTTCTAAACATTTGTTCTTGCTTTTAATTTGTTTCAGTTTCTTTTTCAGTTCAAAAGTTACTCTGAGATTGTGAAGGTAGCAGTGGAAATATTATGTGACGAATTACATCAGGAACTACAGAACACCTCTGTGAAACTCCTATATGACTTAACAAAAGAGATATCAAAGACTGAGTATAATCTAGAAAAAGGTGTTAAAAGTGCTGAGGATGAAGCTATTTCAGTGTGTAAAGAATGGGTAAGATATTTACTCTCAAGCATTGACTGATAGATTGATGATTGATTAATGTCATGTCAGTTCAAAAAGCTATATTCCAATGAGTCAAGCATTAAAATTGCAAATAAAACTGCTAGAAAAAAACACTTTTACAGTTCTCTAGTTATGTCCCTTTTTAACTTTATATGCAAGTGGGAATTCTTTTAACCTGAGGGAGAACCCAGACAGGTGAATTTTTTTTTATTATGCCCCAGCTGTAGACAACGGGGCATTAAGTGTTACCCTTGACTGTCCTTCCGTCTGTCTGTCTGTATATTCGTCTGTCCAATTTTCGTTTCTGCACTCTAACTTAAGTTTTCCTCATCCAAATTTAATGAAACTCATACATAATGCGAAGAACCAAAACTAGCAGACAGAGTTCAAATTTGGGCAGTGAGTCACTTATCGTTCTAGAGGTATGCCCCTTTTTAATTTTTTAAAATTGCAAAGGTTGAGCGGGGGCAATCGTGTCCTCAGACACATTCTTCTTTTATTAGAACCTGTAATAGAACTCAGACAGGTAAAAATTATTTAAACCTGTGGTAGAACCCTCACAGAAGATTCAGCAAGTAGGTTTTAGAAACCTTAGTATGTAATAATTCAGATACACATGATGGGTTTGATCCAAGCTAATTTTTTCTAAATCGTGTATTTATAATTGGTAGGGGGATCTAAAATATCTTGTGGTCTATGGGCTCTAGTACTCTGAGGCCCATTATTCTCGTTTATTGCTTGTAAACCATAGATTAGGGATGTTCTCCTTTACAAATCAAACAAACATAACTATTGTGACAGATTATAGTTGCACATCCTTTTAGACCATTGAAATTGTTACAAATCTCTCAACCTAAATGAAACATTCTATCTTCGGTTTACAAGTGTCAACAGATTCGTCATTCCTCATTCTTGTACTTCTTTTACTGTTTTGGTAACAAAAAACAGAAGTGGGAAAAATGCTATCAGACAGGTTGCAGACGTGAGTGGGTGGGTATTTGCAAAGAGGTTACAAAAGAGAGCATTGTTTCTAATTGACCAATGTACTGCTATGTTGTTAGATTGCATATGTGCTGCAGCATCTAAGGATAGTATTTTGTGATATTCATAAAAACCCTTACCTCAATATCTCAAGACTAGATTGAAAAGCAGTGCTGATTAATTATTTTTACAGGAGTCATGTCAATGTAAATTCTATATAACATTGCATTGTAAGGGCTCTCAAGTGTATAATTCTTTCCAGTTTTTTATTTCTTGTTGAATTTTTATGACGTTTATTATCAACTGCTGATATCAGCAAGGTCTTTGAAGATTTTCAACAAACTATTTTTAGAGGAGTTATATATGCCCCATGGAAATGGAAATATATGGAACATAACTTTGTTAGCAATCTTTTGGCTATATTTCTTGTAAGATATTTATTAAAAACTTTAAAAAGATTTTTTTTTTTGCTTAGTTGTTGCTTTTGAGCAGATAAAATATGTGCAACACAGGGGATATTTGAACTTTGTTCTTTTATATTGATAAAAATAACCAATACAGTACTGTTCTTTAAAATGGTAGTCCTGACAGACCTGCCCAATAAATTATAATATCCTTGTAAAAAACACAATAAAAAACTGATTTTTTTTTGGCCAACTTCAGTATGAAGAGGCTTCAAATATAGTCAACTAAAATTGTTTAAAATCCACTTTTGATTCACTGCAGAAATGAGTATTGCTACTTTTAAGAAAATGAGTTTAAGATATTTATTATACCCCCGCTTTCAAAAAGTGGGGGTATACTGTTTTACATCTGTCTGTCCGTACGTCCATCCATCCATCCGTCCGTCCGTCCCATGAATATTTTTCGTCGCATCTTTCTCAGGAACTACATTACAAGGATTTCTGAAATTTGGTTTCAGGGTTTATATAAGTCAGCTATACCGTGTGATGCGTTTTCAGATTCATCACTCAACAACTTCCTGTTTACTGTCAAGTATTTGGGCAGGGGTATGCTCACAGTTTCACTTGTTTGAATTAATTTTCCACAGATAAATTTAATGCCCCCCACCCCTGTTTCAATTTTTAAAGAATTTGAAAAGAAGACTAATTATTGTCAGCTTACCTTATGTGTATGTTTTCTGACATGAAATGCTTAGAACCTGTATGAAACTACTTTGATAACAAATTGAAAGCATTTCAGAATACTATAAATGTAAACTGTAATAGTTAATCATTCCAACATTCAAGATAATATAAAATATCCAATCCTGCCGCTGTTTCCAGTCCACATCTTACTGTATGCCCATTTATCTATAAAATTTTACAATTTCTGCCTCTAATGGTCAGTTCAGAAATCATGTCACAAAAATATCATCTCTAACCATGTATCTAACATAATTTGGCTAATTTATGAACTAGAAGTGTTTAAACAAAGCCATATTTGCAAAAATTATATGTATGAAGTTACCAGTTTGATATATAAATTCATTAAAAGTTTTATAGAACTGACTGCTAAAATCTGTTTTTTGCATAACTTCCAAGCAAGGTTGTTGTTTTCTATACTAAAGGCCTTCATGATAATAAAATCATAGCCTTTACAGGTTAAATTATCTGTTTTATGACCCAGGGGTTAGGGATTTTTCTCAGTTTTTTGTCACTGGGGCCTCAAATTTGCTAAATAATTCTGCTGTTTCTGTGAATATGAAATATTTAGTATATTTTTAGGATAGAACACACTATTGGTAGTTTTAAAGAGGTATTTTTGTATCTGTAGCTTGTATTTTTTTATGCCGCGGTCACAATCAGGTGTTACAGCTTACTTATTGGTTTTCTACAAGACAAAAACACCCGAAAAACAATGTTCATCAAGGATCTATGAGTTTCAATGACTGCGAAGAATAAATATAAGCACTTCTTAGCAATATTAATTACATATATATTATGGATTCTATGCATACTGTTAACTGTGAATTTATGGGGAGTCATCATATTTAAGGCCCAGGATTTTCTCAATCTTCATGAAATATTTATTAAATTTTATATTTGAGTTAATTTCATTAAAATCTCTGAAGATAAACCATATTTGATGAAATTCTACATGTTCTCTTTTTTCACCCAATATAGGTTGCACTTCTGTAAATATAGACAATGCAACTTCCTATAGGAACTCCTTTTACAGCTCAAACTACGCCACTTTTACAATGAAGTTTCGTAAAAAATTATATCTAGAATGGAAATTTTATATGTACATTTACTACTATTTTTTTCAAAGGTCAAAACATAGAGCTGTGCAGCATATTTTCAACATTTATGTTTTGAACTTCCAAGAGTTTAAACTTATACTAAAATTCTGTACTACCCCTCCCCTCACTTTGGGTCTTCCTCAGAATTCAATTTCGCCGCTATCAATGTGTATTTATACTGGTAACATTCCCAAGTTGTGTCTCTTATGTTATGAAGCATAGAGATCATATCTAGGAACCAGTAGGTAAACAAAACAAATTATCTATGCATATTAAATTTCTCCCCAAAAGAGGCATGGTTTGTGAAACAGCTGTATTTACAAAGTGCAACCTTTAGAGGAGGTTCAATTTTCCATGGCTGAGAAAAATGTTTTCTTACATGTTTTAACTTTTATTCCTATCAAGTACTTTAAAATATTCAAGCATTATTACTGTATGAAGTAAGTGAATAGGTATGACAATTTAAAAATATGAGGTCTATAGAGGGAGTAAAAATGTTTAAGAAATATTTTCTAACAAATACTTATTCAAGCATTATTACTAAATGAAGTAAGTGAATAGCTATGACAATTGAAAATCGGAGGGTATATAGGGGGGTTCAATTTTCTATGATTGAGTAAAAATGTTTCAAAATATTTTCTAACCTGTGTACTATTGTTTGTCTGTTTGTCTGTTGGTCTTTTTCTTTTTTAGCCATGGCGTTGTCATTTTTTTTTTTTCGACTTATGAGTTTGAATATCCCTCTGGCATCTTTCGCCTCTCTTTTATTCCAACCATGTACAGATTTTCAAATTGTCATAGCTATTCCAGCTATGTTATATAGTTATAATGCATTGATAAGTACTTGGTAGGAATAAAACATGTTAGAAAATATTTTTAAACATTTGACTCAACCATGGAAAATTGAACCCCAACAAAGGAAAACTGAATCCCCCTATAGTCCTCAGATTTTCAAATTGTATAGTTATAATGCCTTAATAAGTACTTTTTACTCAGCCATAGAAAATTGAACCCCATACCATGGAAAACTGAAACCCTCCTCTATAGACTTCAGATTTTCAAATTGTCATAGCTATTCAAACTACTTTATATAGTTATAATGCTTAACCTAATGAACATTGGACATTTATTTAAAGGAATCCCTGCTTTGGAAAATTGACCCCAGGTTCAATTTTCCATATGGGGTTTTGACCTTGGGTTCAATATCTTATGGAAAATTTACCCCAGGTTCAATTTTCAATATGACACCAGACATCCTGTGCAAATCTTTGTTGTTGTATTGGTATTTAGACATTGCTGTCCGCAAGTAAGACATATAAATATGTTGATTGTAGAGTGTTAAAGTTTACCTGTAGAACAATTAAATGTTCATAAAAAATAAGGAGATGTGGTATATTTGCCAATGATACAACTTAGGAGACCAAAGTATTATGGATGTAAACAACTATAGGTCACTTTCAAAAATGAGCAAAACCCATAAACAAAATTGAGTATGTAAGCTATAAAAGTCCCCAGCATAGCAAAATGTGAAACAATTCAAACAAGAAAACCAACAACCTTATGTTTGCTTAAAAGATAAAAGAAAAAATCAAATATGGCAGACAGCAACCAACTACATCCACTGAATTACATCTACTTGTAACAGGCATATAATGAATGTAGGGTGGATCCATGTTTGTGAGCACTCAACCCAACCCCTAACCAGAGACAGTGCTGTAACAAAACCACATAAGAATGAACTGTAAATATCAGTTGGAGAGGGTTTGACTCATCAGATCAACACGAAACACAAAAAAACAACAACAAAAAAGACAAAAGGTATGATCTAAGAATACTCCCAGTAACTGAAAGCTAGTTCCAAGCCATTCAAATGATTACTTAAAACAAACAAATAAATAAATCATCTTTTACCAAACTTAAATATCAATCAGTACACATCCAACATATTGGAAATAAAGACATCATAAACAGTCTGAGAAAAACATGACCTTGCGCATTATGCCAAAATATAAGAATCGACTGGATGTAGGAACATAAGTGTCCATAATTGTATAGCAAGATATATTGAGTAATGTTTTAATTTATTTTAAATAAAATTAATGTTAGTACTAAAAAGACAATTTCAGATATTATAGTATGTTATCTTTTCTTTATATTTCAGGGGAAATTGTACTTTTGGCCGACATACAAGGCTGCAGTAAACAGAAATGGTGTTTATAAATCAAGATCTGTTGGAGAAATCAATTTTAACGATGACTTAGTCTCTCCTTTGATCAGTGGCATCCTAATAAGGTGGACAGATTTGTTTAGGTAAGTATAATGATTCTCTTCTTTAAAGTAATTTAAGTTGTACTCATCATTCCTACAAAACATGTTTTGATACATTCACTCAAAATTCTAGTTACACCTTGGTCATTGGACATTGGCCAAATAATATGTTTTATTTCATATCGGTTGAGAATTAGCTTCTCGTATTGGATAATAAGGGGCCACATGACATTCTTTATTCTTCAGTAATATTTTCTAATGGTCTTTAACAGAAAAAACGGACCGGAAAACCGGTCGTTAACAGACTTTACATGTTAATGACCGGTGGGGCGTGGTTTCTCTGTTTGAGTGATGTCCCGTCATAAAACGCAATCGCGATTCAGACGTGTTTACAGTTTACAGTTTACAGTTAGGAACATGGCTGAATTGGAAGACACGTCTGCTAGTACAGACAACTCTAATGACCATTTTGCTGTACTTTCGAAAGCTGACAGAGATATACTACTCAGCAACAAGAATGCTGAAAGCACCAAAGCAGCCACCAAATTTGCAGTCTAGACTTTTCATGATTATTGCATGACAGTGGCGAGCTACCAGACGACAGTGGCCATTGACCTGCTACCCGACATGGCTCTTGATCAACTGCTTGAAAAATTTTATCCATCACTGAGGAACAAGAATGGAGAAAAATATGCTCTTCAAAGCTTGAGGTCAATACGGGCCGGCATTCAAAGGTAGGTACACTCGAGTTGCATATTCTTCCATCGTCTGTGAATGTTTACAGTTTGCCAAAATAATAATGGGGATTGATATTTCTGGAACTTTATTTGTGCAAGTGTAAAATGTGTATTAAGGATTATATGTATGTTTATAATTTTGAATATCAATGCATTTTGAACCAGAATCAATTTGTTTACATGTTCCTAAGGCACGTTCCATTTGATTTTCTGGGTAGGCCTGTTTTTGTTGGTGGGAGTACACTGCAGCTCAATTTGAATAACTAGCTTTAATTCATGAACATTTTACATATATTATGAACATGATATATGTACAAAACATAGTAGGTTGAATATGTATTTATATGTGCCATTAATTTTTCAGGTACTACACTGAACTGCCACGTAGACGGGAGATCAACATTATCAGCGGCGAAAATTTTACCCGTAGTAAGGCCATGTTTAAGGCTGTTTGTGTAGACTTGAAAAAAAGTGGTCTTGGTGATGTAACCCACAAACCTGTGATAAACGATGAAGATATGGCAAAGATCTGTGACTATTTTAAAACTTGGAAAACAGATCCAGTAGTCCTAATCCGAAAGGTTTGGTTTGATCTCATGCTTTTTTGCTGCCGTAGAGGAAGGGAAGGACTGAGAGAACTTTCGAAAACTTCATATGTTGTTGATTGTGACAGATCGGGTCAGAAATTCATAGAAAAAAATAAAATGGATCAGTATTGACAAAAAATCATCACACTGATGTAGAGAATTCATCCGGTGGGATCATTTATGAAGAAGAGGATAGCGACTTGTGTCCAGTTGCATCTTATACTTTTTATTTAGGGAAATTGAACCCTAACTGTGATGTACTATTTCAGCGTCCGCGACCTAATTACCATACAAAAGATGAGACATGGTTTGAGAACAAACCACTTGGAAAAAATACTTTCGGTGCATTAATGGTGAAAATCTCTAATTGTGCGGGATTATCAAAAGTATACACTAATCACTCATTCCGATCTACATCTATCACAACTCTGAGTAAAAGTGGTTTCGAGGACAGAAAAATCAAAACTGTATCTAAGCACAAGTCACTACAAAGTATTGAAAGCTACTCAAGGGACTCTTCACTCCCACAAAAGAAAAAGATGTCCAAAGCTCTTGCGTCGTCATTATATAATACTAAGGCAGAGATACATGTACTGTCTACCTAGAACAATGCAATAAGCACTGTCAATAACATTTCTCCTTCGACAGGAAATGCTGTTCCCAATAGAGCACCAACAACTGTTGCAGTACCACAAACTGTTCAAAACACTAATGCGTCTAGTACATGTATGCAACTTGATGACATTTATTTTCTCAGTGACAGTTTCATCGGTGAGTTGGCAGACTTTGATAAAGTACTGAAAGAAATTAGTGCATCACAAAACAATGTTCAAATCAATTACTCAAGAAAAGAGTCCATGTGCAACAGAAATGACCATAGCATTAATATTCAAAATGTATCGGGTGGAGTGTTCAATTTCTATGTTTCTAAAGACTAAATTTATACACGTATAACTATGTGGATTTTTTCCAGTTAAACATTTTCCTGTTTTCATTTTATATTGCAGTTGTTGTTGAATTGTTTACCATATGTTTTTGTTAATTATGAAATTATAGAAAACTTTATTTTGTATTCATATACTGAAAAATTGCACTCAAATGAATGGCAGTGACTTATAGTTATTCAATACTATGACTGATCTTCACTCCCTATAGAAATCGTAAATTAACTCGAGGTTACTTTGAACAATTTGAATTTATGAATTTTTTTTTAAAACATGGTTTCTCAATGAAATAAACATAATAGTTATTGAAAAACTGGTCATTATCGTAATATGGACTGCCTGTAGGACAGTGGTATTGACTGCTACAGCGATAATGACCTCGCCTACGGCTCAGTCATTTTTGCTGTCTCAGTCAATACCACTGTCCTGTGGGCAGTCCATATATCACGATAATGACCAGTTTTCAATAACAATTATGTAAATAACGACTAATACTTCAAACCCCAAGCAAACATTTTTTATGCCCATTGAATTTTAGTTCAGATGAAATTTTATTTAAATCAGAATGGAGCAGATTCTATTATACAATTTGATGCAATATTATTAGTTACATAGTGTGCTAGTGACCTAATACGATATATATGGGGTCAGTAAATTCCATATGGGGTGAGAGCAATAGCTTTGTGTAAATATAAAAATGAACATACAAACTTCCTTCTAGATCAACACACACTCACATATTATCATGTCATTCGTCACCTACAATTTTTCGCTAGCATTGTATATGTATTTCATATAAAATAACGGTTTTCAAAAAAATATTGCGGGTTCATTGCTGGTTTGATTTTAACAAATTTGGTACCAATAAAAGCAGAATTGTCACAGGTTTGTTTGTTTATTTTTTGGTTATATTTTTGTTGTAAAGCATTTTCATTTTTTGATGATATAAACTTAATTTTCAGCTTGTACCTTATGTGGTGAGTCTGAAACAGTTAAAGAGATTAAACTAACAATAGGATATTCAGATTTCTGATTGGAGTCATTCTGATAATTTTTTTGAAGTTTTGAGATAGCACATGCATACTTGTTTGGACTCATGATAAACCACATGTAGTCATTTCTTGGTCGTGTGTATTAATTTTCCTTTCTTGGAGTAAGGGAGATAACTCGCATAACTAACGACGCACGTTTTATATCCCGAATTCCGCTAGAGGCGTTTAATTACGTATACTTGGCCTTCACAGACTAACTTTATATTTTGTTAGTAGCTTGACAACTGAGATGTAACGTTTTGTAACGGTCAGATACTGGCTCCCTGTTTGCCGATGTTTTAATCTTTAATATGTGGAATGAATTTTAAAAAAATGTCCCACTTTTCTCCAATACTACTGAACAGAATGACTTCACATTTTGACCAGCTGCTCAAATGTGATGAGTGGTAAAGTGTGTTTGCTTTTCAGATCTGTCAGACAGCTACTTCATCTTTTCCTATACTTTGAATTACTTTAGTTGGGGTATGACAAGATGTGTGTTCTTGTTGTGATAATTATTCACATGATTTTTGCCATTGAATGTTTAAAAGCAGTCAGGCAATTAAAAGAAAAAAACAGTTAACACAACAAACCTTGGAAAATAAATATTTACATGCTTGAAAACTGGAAAGAATAATGAATTAATAAGACTTCATAATGAATGATGTTTTCTAATTTCAGTGAAGATTTATGGAAGATACTGAATGACTATTGGTACAATGAAAATCATCTTGAAAAAACCATAAAAGAGTATACAAACAAACTGTCTGACAAAGTGAAAGATTACATACCTACACCACAGCTTGAAAAACTCAAGAAAAGGATTAATGACAATTCTTGGCAAGAGGTACTGTTTCAAGTTATGGAAATGATAACATTTCACTGAAAATGCGATACCAATTATTCTTCCATCTAAAAAACCTCCATTACAAGATGAAGACTGATTCAAATTTTAATATGACTTGACTATAATAGTAGTGGGGCATTATGTTTTCTGGTCTGTGTGACCATCTGTGTGTTATTTAATTTGTCTGTCACATATATTAGTCTAAAGATTTTGGTCAAGGAAGTTTACCATGAGGTTGTGACATTTTGATGTGAACTTATAAATTATTTGCAAAATTATGGTGTTAACCCAAAATGCATTGATCAATGACCATGGAAATAATGTGCTTGTGTAAAACCAGTACATTTTCAGGTGAATTATTTTGATTCAGTAAAGTTGTGGTGCCATCAACTTGAAACGTGGTACAAATATTTATTATGATAGGAACATTTTAGATTGTATGTCAAATTATGGTTCTGATCCCAATTCCATGTAGTGGAGCATGGCATAGTGTCCTGTGGACATAGATTCACATTTGTATAAGCTTTCTGTGTTTACAACATATATGTACAAATCAAATGATATGATGTCTCTCTGCATAGTATGTTTTTCTAAATAAACATTGCAGGGTATCCTCACAACCATAAGTTTTGAAAGCCAAAATATATAACTTTGAGAGTATCAATTGAACCGTCAAAACTGGTAATTAAGGTAAAGTTTGTTTGAGGGAGTTGAAAGTATAGTTTTTTCATGTCTCCGCCGTAGCGAAGGGGGCATTAAGTTTTACCCTTGTCCGTCGGTGCGTACGTACGTCAGTACGTCCCAAAGTTGGTTTCCGTTCTCTAACTTTAGTTTGCCTCAACCAAATGTTATGAAACTTATACAAAATGCATATTACCACAAAACACAGATCAAGTGTGAATTTTGGTGGCGTTTCTTTTACCATTCTAGAATTATGCCCCTTTACAAATGGATATTGCTGAATTTTTCGTTTCCGTTCTTTTACTTTAGTTTGCCTCAACCAAATTTTATGAAACTTATATACAATGCTTATTACCACAAAATACAGATCAAGTTTGAATTTTGGTGGTGTCACTTTAACCATTCTAGATCTAGAGTTATGCCCCTTCACAAATGGGAAAATTGCTGAATTTTTCTTCTCGTTCTCTTTCTTTAGTTAGCTTCAACCAAATGTTATGAAACTTATACACAATGCTTATTACTACAAAATACAGATCAAGTTTGAATTTTGGTGGTGTCACTTTTACTGTTCTAGAGTTATGCCCCTTTATGAAAAAAATTGCTGAATTTTTCGTTTCTGTTCTCTAACTTAAGCTTGCCTCAACCAAATGTAATGAAACTTATACACAATACTTATTACCACAAAACTCAGATCAAGTACAAATTTGGGTAGAGTCACTTTTACCGTTCTTCAGTTATGTCCCTTTATAACTTTATATGATATGCAAGCGGGGGCATCATCTGTGTCCCATGGACACATTCTCCATTTATTTTACAATTTATTAATTGTATGAACTGGAAACTAAAAAACAAAATGTATCATTTAGATTTGCCCATTTAAAGCACTCTCTACTGGAAGGACTATACCTTGGGGACATAACTACCAACAGCAGTATTGGCCTAGTGGTAGAAAAAACTAGTGATCTAGCTAACAGTATAATGATCAGATAGAAATTTCTCTTGTGACATCAAAACTTTTAGTGGAATGTCTTTGATATTTTTTGATTAATAGAAATACAACAATTTATATTTACAGTTACAAAAAAAAATTAATCAGATAAAAGTCCATGTGGAGTGCCGTCAAAAACAGATTAACAGATTGTGTTCACCAATAATTCAGGTAGGATTACTCAATTTGTTATGGAACCCCAACTGACCCCCTCCCTCAAGTAGGTATGTATATGGTGGTCATTGCATTTTGTCATTGGTGCATATGTTTGATCATCTGCTTTTTTGTATCCACAACTCCTCTTAAACCAATATTGAATTTCATGAATCTTAGGTATCTAACGGTATTGTGCACCTCCTATTGATTAGTTTGTTCCAAATGATTTTTGGTGTATCTCATAGTAAACATGGACATTGCCATATCTACAAAAAGTTGTAAACCTTAACTGCAAAAATGCTGAGCAACATTACAAATAAGTCAATATAAATGAAATCTTCAAGTAGAGAAATTTTCTAATTGGTGTTATATTGTTTTTGGAGTAAGAATATTTTTGAATAAAGACAGTATGATTTTTGGTGTTTTGAATTCTTATAACGTTTTCTACTGGCAAAGTATTACATTAACTATGCAAAGATAACACAATTAGACAGACTGTTAATGTCTGTGCATGCTTTTCTTAATTTTTTTTGAAAGAAGTTAAAAAATTTATGAATATATATATCTTTCTAAAGACACAAGTCATTTGTCAACAGATGAGGGAAAATTATTGAAATTATTTAAAATATCATTGTTTATCATATACTTGTATAAAATATTACTTAAATTTTACAGTTCAATAACATTTAAAAATATTAAAAGGCTATGAAAGGATTACTATGTTTATTAACCAGATTCCTAAGAGTTTCCTCGGCGGGCTGATAAATGAACCTTTATTGACCGCTTCCAGATTGTTATCACATGTCTTTCCATTCATGTCCGTGACGTTTATCGCATGCAACTTCGTGAATTTCTGGAAATCATGACAGACGACACAGCTGTATTTGTCGAGTCTTTGAAAAACAACAACACAGTGCGTAAAACCGCAAGTGATTTAATACTTTTCACAAATTGGTTGAGAACCAACAATGAATTAAGATTACACATGTTTTGAAAGACATATCAAATTTTGAGTCCAACTCTAGACAGGTTAACGTTCCAGCCCCAACAACTTCAGGCATAACTATGCACATGTTTTCGGGGGCAACCATCACAGGAAAGGTGACAACAAACTTTTCAAACTTAGAACATGATAATTGTTGTGATATGTCACAAGATAAATGAAATGCTTGTATTATCAATAAAAACAATTAAAGTTAAGAAATTTGTATTTGGCTGTCTGGAATTTATTATCTAAAAGTTCAAAGAAAGACAAAATCTTAATAGTTCTTGTCTGTATTTCTTCTGCTGAAGTATATGATAAAAAGATCATTACATGTCATTTTTCATATCAGACCCTTTATCGGCCCTCGTTCATGATATCAGCCCTCGAACCTACGGCTCTTGGGCTGATATCATGACCTAGGGCCGATAAAGGGTCTGATATGAAAAATGCCATGTAATAATCTATACATATTTAATGTTCCCCAAAGTATTCTTAATAGAGTATTGAGTATTATATTTGGTATGTGCGTACCTTGCAAGGTCCTCATGCCCGTCAGACAGTTTTCACTTGACCTCGACCTCATTTCATGGATCAGTGAACAAGGTTAAGTTTTCGTGGTCAAGTCCATATCTCAGATACTATAAGCAATAGGTCTACTATATTTGGTGTATGGAATGATTGTAAGGTGTACATGTCCAACTGACAGGTGTCATCTGACCTTGACCTCATTTTCATGGTTCAGTGGTTATAGTTAAGTTTTTGTGTTTTGGTCTGTTTTTCTTGTACTGTATGCAATAGGTCTACTATGTTTGGTGTATGGAATGAGTGTAAGATGTACATGTCCAACTGACAGGTGTCATCTGACCTTGACCTCATTTTCATGGTTCATTGGTTAAAGTTGAGTTTTTGTGTTTTGGTCTGTTTTTCTTATACTGTATAAAATAAATCAACTATATTTGGTGTATGAAAATATTTTAAGATGTACATGTCAGTCAGGCATGTTTTATTTGACCTTGACCTCATTTTTACGGTTCATTGCTCAATGTTAAGTTTTTGTTTTTGGTCTATTTTTCTAATACTGTCAGCAATAGGTCAACTATATTTGGATTATGGAATGATTGTAAGGTGTACATGTCCAACTGGCAGGTGTAATCTGACCTTGACCTCATTTCCATGGTTCAGTGGTCAAAAGTTTTTTAGTTTTGTTCCTATTTTCTTATACTATATGCAATAGGTGAACTATATTTGGTGTATGGAAATAATTTAGGATGTACATGTCTGTCTTGCAGGTTTTATTTGACCTTGACCTGATTTTCACGGTTCATTGCTCAGTGTTAAAATTTTGTGTTTTGGTCTATTTTTGTTCAACTATAAGCAATAGGTCAACTATATTTGGTGTATGGAATGTTTATAAGGTGTTTATGTCTGTCCGCCAGGTATCATATGACCTAAACCCCTTTTACATGGCTCATTGGTCAATGTTAAGTTTTAATGCTTAACTTTGTTTCTTAGAAAATATAAGCAATAGGGCAACTATATTTGGTGTATGGAATGATTGTACGGCGCATCTGTCTGTCTGGCAGGGTTCATATGACCTTGACCTTATTTTCATGGTTCATAGGTCAATGTTAATTTTTTTTTTCTTCACTGCCATCTTTAATCACAATAATCAATATCAATGGTATATCACTAAGTTATTTCACTCTTAACCACAGTAATCCAGCATATCTTCATATAGTGGATAATAACCTATACAATTAGTAGTATGAAGACACTATGATAGTTGTCTTTAGCAGGCCTGGCAGCAGCTTTAGCGTTCATACAGGCATCAGCAGCAGCGACATTATCTCATTATTTACAGCTTAAAATTTATAATGTATGTTTGATAGCATTTACTTTCAACATAACTTCAATTAGAAATACATGACAGGCGAGACATTTCTGTGTGTCCACTTATGTTAAATAAAGTAGTGATTTGATCCAGCTGAAAAGGGTTAAAAATTAGTATGTCTGAAGCTGTCAAAAGAATGCAAGACCACCTTAACATAAAATTGTTCCTATTTTGAGTTAGAGCTGATAAAGTTTTCTATAAATTTGATATAATTTGTCCCAAAAGTAGTACACCACACTGTAAAAATATTATGGAGAAAGCACAGGTGTAATTTTTTTAATTTTCATTTATTGTCTAAAAGAAATGCACTACTAAAATAACTGTGTTCTCGGGCCACATGTTAATCCCTGTTATTTCTAAAACACATAATAACAATGTCACATGTTTTTATTTACTTATGTCGTGTAACAATGTATGTATGCACTGTAGTCTAAATACCAAAAAGATCAAGAAAAAATGAAAAAATAAATCTTCAAATGACTCGATACTTCAGCAGTTGTTGTCCCTACATCACAATGTTAACCCTTATTTTCATTTGACCTTTTCTACAACCTTGAAAATTATATTGCATAGATAAAAACTCCCAAAAATGAGAAAAAAATTGAGGCACAGTCAGTTTCCTCTCAACAGAAATAATTCTTGTTGCAATTTATAAATCATATGCCTCTTGGAGCCTTTAGTTTCTTAGATGGGGTTTAACAAGGCATTTTTAACATTTTTGCTGCCCTTTCAACTGCCTAAGTATGTAATTTTTTTTAATTCTGGCAGAAACATTAGTCTGTGTTATGAATAAATGCCAAGTGATACTGGATTCCAGGAGTCTCTAGTTTCTGAATATTTGTAGCCTTGTTTGAGATCAACCTGTCATCCTGTTTTCTGTATATTTGTAGTCAAGATTGAAACATATTTATGAGGAGTGTAGTGCTTGCAAAGGAAAAGGTTTTTTTCAAAGAGTGAAGGCTAATTTGGAAAAGGGGATAGACACACAGAAAAAATCCATGTTCCAAGAAGTGTCAAAAAAGATTACAGAAGAACTAGAAGCTTTGATGGTATTAATTTTATTATTACACTTTAGTTTTATAATCTTACAGGTAAATAAGTGTTCACACTTTTATTTAAATAATTAGAAGCTACAGATGACTCATTGGGCATGTTTTTGTGAGCTTCATTGTTTTGCTACATTTTTCATATAACTACACTTTTTATGCCCCGCCGTAGGCAATGGGGACATTAGTTGTTACCCTTGACCATCCTTTCGTCTGTCCGTCCGTCCATCCGTCTGTCCCATTTTGTTTCTGCACTCTAACTTAAGTTTACCTCATGCAAATTTTATGAAATTCATACACAATGCCATACCTGTCAACTGACCCTGATCCTGCGGGTGTGACCCGAGATTTTCACAATTCTGAGGGGTTACCCGGAACACCCGCCAGGTGACCAAATAACCCGGGAATTGGGAAAATAACCCGTTTTCACCCGGATTCCTTAGCCTTCAGACTGATTAGATATAAAGTGATTTCTATGAAATACCGGCAAATTCTTAATTCTTTCTGGACAAGAAGTTCAACTAGCTGTGTAAACTCAGCTCAATTGACCCATTTCAGTGCATGGCTTCACTTGACAGCTTTGGTGTCAAACACACTGTTAATTAACACCAATTACCTTAGCTTAAGGTTGTAAATAATTTGTGTATTTCAAAGTTGTTTTAAAGTTTCAAAGTTACTTCCCCTTTTTTATCAATTTACAATATACTCCTTAAACTTATGTTTTTTTTTGTAAAAAGATTATATCTAAAATGAATTGAATGCAAAAACATATCAGAATAATACTTTTACTTATTGTTCTACCTTAGAAGAATTAATAAATAATTTTCATCTATACCTCCTTTAATTGTTTAACTTTATTTTATTATACTCTAATATCAGCCAGTGTTATGATTCACTGTTATTTACTGTGACTTGACTGTAGGTGTTTGGAAATGGCTAATGCGAATGCTGAAGCTAACCAAGATCAAGAATCGGTTATATCTGAAAATGATGTTTTATTTCGAAAATATATGGAAAATGATACCACAATAGCAAGAAATAACACTTTAGTCATATATGTTGATGAGTCTAATACTGATTTCCAGAGGGAAACTGCAGAGCAATTAAATACAAGAGATGTCTTGTTCACACTTCAATCTTCTGTTAACATTACAGACCTCATTATATGCTTTCAAAAATCAAGAAAAAGTAGCTACCTCGCAACATGTCGGGACGAACATTCTTTAGAAACTTTCCTAAATGAATTTCAAACCTTTGTAGTTAATGACATTACATTTAGATCAAGGCGTGCTGAACCTCTAAACCTAGGTCAGAAAGATTACATTGATGTGATTGTTTTCGGCCTCCCGTTTGAAATAAAACCAATGGCGGTGAGGAAAAAATTTGAGATTTATGGAGAAATTCAAAAACTAATCTCTCCGACTTTCAAAGAGTTCCCTAACATACAATCGGGAGTTAGGATTGTGCGAATGAACAAACTATACAGACAAATCCCCAAAAAACTGTATATTAAAGGTCAATCCGTCTCAATAAAATATGAAGGTCAACCACAAGGTAAAAAGTGTTACTCTTGTGGTGATCACGGTCATATTTCAAAAGATTGTCCGCAAAATTTCCCAGTCCCGGATTTTAATCCAGTTCCTTGCTTGAAATGCGGGAAACGAGACCACATGGAACTTCAATGTGAAAATCAAACCGTGCTAGAGAACAAAGACAAAGATGAAAATATAGTGGAAGACAAAATTTCCGATTCAGTGTTTCAACCAAATCCTAATATTCTAAATTCTTTTGCAAAATTTGGAAATGGGTATAACTTTGATTTTACATTAAGTGAAAAGGCGCCAATTTCGGGAAAATCTTCCAAAACAAATGTTCCTTCAGAGGGTCTAGATAAAACACAAGGAATTAATAAGGATAAAACAAAAAGCACACCGACTTTAATAGCTAGCAAGGGCGAGAAACATGCAAAGTCAGGTGATGAGATTATAGCCCGTATGTCGTCATCGAACAAACCATATTCTGATGCTGTCAAAGATGGTTGCGACATAGCAAGTGATAAAACTCCCCTACCAAAACGTAAATCATTAAGTGCGAAGAGAGTTGATAAAAATAAAGAAAAAGACAAAACAAAAATTTCGGAAAGAGAAAAGGACCAGGAAAAAAAGAGAAACAGAGATAGACTAAGCATTGAGAGTTCTGTTCAAACAGGGAAAGATCAAAAACTGGCAAAGACTCAGACGCAAAAAAGCAGTAATACTAGTCCTGCAAATCCTAAACCCCCTCCCATATAACTATTAAAATGTCTAATCATAACAATCACTCTCATATATTGATATTTTGTTTACTCTTTTTTTGTACATATTTTTTATTATTTCATTGCACCTAGAGTCCATTGATAGATTTGTGTTCCTGTTCATATTCATTTCATGACATAAATGTGCCACTTTGTGTTTTCTTTACATACATTTGTGCAGCTTTTACAGTGACTTGACTATGGGTGTTACTGTATAACTTTACCTATAGCTCAACCAGATTTTAAAATTGACAATACAATAGGGACCAGTTGGTATTGTTAGATTTAAATCTACCTTGATTCTACCTGTACAGTTTTTTATTTACCTATTCCAACCTTACAGCATGCTTTTTAGCTCATCTGGCCTTCGGGCCCCATGTGAGCTTATGCCATCACTTGGCGTCCGTCGTCGTCTGTCGTCGTAAACTATTTCAAAAATCTTCTCCTCTGAAACTACTGGGCCAATTACCTTCAAACTTTAACTAAATGTTCCTTAGGGTATCTTGTTTATAAATTGTATCCGAAGTTTGTATCCATCGACAAACATTGCCGCCATGGCTAAAAATAGAACATAAGGGTCAAATGCAGTTTTTGGCTTATATCTCAAAAACTAAATCTTTTAGAGCAAATGTGACATCGGGTAAAATTGTTTAATTGGTCAAGATCTATCGGCCCTGAAGTTATCAGACAAATCGAACAACCCATTGTTGGGTTGCTGCCACCGAATTGGTAGTTTTAACAAAATTTAGCAGTTTTTCGTTATTATTTTGATTATTATTATAGATATATTTAAACTGTAAGCAGCAATAATGTTCAGCAAAGTAAGATCTACAAAAAAGTTATATGACCAAAATTGTCAATTGACCCCTTAAGGAGTTATTGCCCTTTAAAGACAATTTTACACAATTTGTTCATCAAGTTTGCTAACATTTAAATATCTTCTCCTCTGAAATACAGGTGAGCGATTCAGGCTCTTGAGAGCCTCTTGTTTCCTGAAGTTTTTCTTTACCTAGTATTATTCTTTTTAAAAATTGATAGGGAAGAAAATATTTTTGGTTTTCATTGTTTTAAATTCCCAATATATATGATTTATCTAATTTTTACCTAAAATTCTAAATCAGTAAAAGATTTAATAAATATTTGTTGAAAACTTCTGATTTAATAAAAAAAATCACTTTCCCATGTTTTTTATTAGAGAATCCTTAAACAAGTTAAGGAAATAAACATTGTCATTACAATCTTTTTATTATTGAATTGAGTGTATTCATAGAAGTAATTGGTCAAACAATTGCCAAAGAAACAATCTTTAGAAGGAAATAGAGAGATTTTTGGAAAATGACGCTATCAGCGGCATGTTTCCGATACCATTGACCAGAAGTAACGGAAGTTGATTATGCCTCCGCCTACCGCACTCAGTTTCATATTTACTATTTTACATACTAACTGGAATCTGCTTGTATTACGCTACACTCGAACAAAGTCTTTGTTAAAGTGTTGTAGTCGGACGGGAACCAGTTGACATACGTTATTTTATTTACCAAAAAGATACCTTGACCTGTCCAAGGATTTGTATAGTGATTTCTCACTATACAAATCCTTGACCTGTCCATATGTTTTTTGTTATTTAATGGTATTTGGAGCTATCCCGTTGTTATATTTTTCATATTTATTCGAGCTTTCACTTTTATGCACATGTCTTACAATCGTAAACAATCGGTATGTATACATGATAAATAGATCCGTTTTGTTGTGGTGTTGGACTTTTTACCCTCCAATGATCAGCAATCGCTAGACAAAATAGTTCTAAATAATGTCAGCCTTTCATGCCATTTCAACTTTACAATCATTAAAAAAGTAATAATCGGAATCATTTTGATATCCATTGGATAGAAACTGGTCTTTATCCAGATTTACGAAGATTTTAATAATCGGAAATTAGTAATACGGTTATACCCACGCGGTGCGTATGAATCTTTGTTTACAAAGTTATAGCAGCAGAGTCTGTAACTGTATCATTATTAATTAACTACACTGTTATTGTACTTAATATGATGAAAACTGCATATGCAATATAAGATGTCAACTCGGCCAATACAGATTTTTTTTCCGTATTGGCCGAGTTCTGATCCGGCCAAAACAGGATTTCGGAACGTCTCAAGTTTTTAGATCGTAAGTCACGATAAACTCAAACTGAAAGTAAACAGTTGTTTGTACCAGATGTCTCTGACTCACCATAAACAAGCTGAAACGTTCAGTAGGGCATATATTTTAGGTTAAAGACGGTCCCATTCATTTGAAAAGCATTTTGAAAGTAGACGACGGAATTATTTCAGGTTTGGGGAACGAGTAAATTATCACAAAGTTCATTTCTTGACGACCTCATAATTTCATCATGTCGTCTTGTCGATGGTACAAATCGATTTTTACTGTTCACTTTCGCTTCTCATGTTTTGTAAACGGTCTTTTATTTTTAAACCCGAAACAGGCATATGCATTCTGTAATTGTGCAAATCTTCGTTCTTTGGTCAATTGGCTTATGGATAGTTGTATCAATTTCAACTCTTACATTATTTTTTTTAAAAATATATTTGCATTACACATGCAATGGCAGTACCTTTCCAATTACTATTTATGTGTTGTGTCTAAATTAAAGTTGTAACACTTTATAGTGACTGGAAAGGGTAGAAAAATTCATCAGATGAGAAAAGGC